CGTCGCCCTGTAACCATGGCAACCGTAACGCTGCCGCCTGGAACAACAGAACGTAGCTGTCAAACAAACCCAAACAGTCCTGACCCGCGACAATATGCCCTACGAGTGGCTCCAGCAGATCCCGGGAATAACATCGGAGATCTCTGTCCAGAAGAGCGCAGTCCTGGGAACAGCTAAAATACTGCGCAGGACCCTTAAGCTCCCAGGCCTCTGGTAGAGGACCCGAGCTTGAAGGATAAAACCGGCCGAAGGGGCGTGCTGGGTGGTTTTTTTTATATACATATATATACATATCTACATATGTATTGCTTTTTCTTTTTTGTATATTGTTTGCTTTACTTTTGCACCTTTGTGGTCCTGCTACCCAATTTTGCTGTGCAAGAAACTGCACAATGCCAATAAAAGTTCTAAGTTTTAAGTTCTAAGATGTACCCAAAACAAGGCTACGTCCACACTAATGCGTTTCTGTTTGAAAACACAGTTTTCTCCCCGTTTTGGTCTCCCGTCCACACTGAGACGGCGTTTTCCTCAAGGAAAAACGCAACGTTTTGAAAACACTCCCGAAAACGCATACATTTCAAAACGATGACGCATTTTAGTCATGTGATGTAGTCATGTGACCAATTAAACAAAGATAGCGGAGTGCATTATACAGTAGTTGTTTTGATTGCTCTCAATTTTGACAGACCTAAAAACGATTAATATCAGTTTGTACATGCTCCAGATAGTTTTTCTTCCAATTTTTTAATTCTCACTTGCTTTTGCGCATGCGCAGTACTGAACGTAAGCGTTTTCGGCTGTTTCAATGTGGACGCACAACTCTGTGAAAACGACTGAAAACACTAGTATGGATGCGGAGCGTTTTCAGACAAAAACGCTGTTTCCAAATCTACGTCCGCACGTACCCGGGTATTTTTGAAAACGCAGATTTTTCTATGCGTTTGCACCTTTCGTCCACACGTAAACTGCATTGTCAGTCACTGAAAACAGATTTCTAAAACGCCTGCCAGGGTGGATATTTTCGAAAACTTCATTTTTGCATTTACGTGTGGACGAGGAAAACGGAGAAAACGCAGTGTCAAAGGTGTGCGCCTTTTTTGACGTCACACTGTACGCCACGTTATTGTTTCGGTGAAATAAATTTCGACAGTGCCGGACTTACACAAAATACTGTTATTGTCAATTTTACTCTCTGAAGTGTTTAAATGCTTACATATACACACACAGTTACTGTCCCTTCACACAGGACTCCTTTCTGCTCCTATGCGCCATCTTTGTTTACGCTTTCCCACCCAGGCTTCTGATTGGCTAACATTTCTACACGGTTAGGAATATATCGCCACCTGCAAAATGTGTTGCTGCTATCAGAAAGATGCTATGAGTCAAGTCTATGATTTGACCAAGTCAACCCATATGGAAAAGAAATAGTAAAAACTTATATGATTTACTCATGAAAGTGGCCACTTTCTCATTACTTTCATATATT